TGACCTTCAGTTATATTATTAAGAACTGGTACAATCAGAATTAAAAAAAAAACTGTTTCAATGCGTAAAACTACAAAAAGGAAGTTTTCGTTAGCATATCAAATTGAATACATAGTATTTATTCTCATAAGTCTCTCAGTTTTGACAAACAAGAGCGTTCCAGATAAAATGTTCATTTTCAGCTTTATTGGTAAAATTATGTTAAATTTACTTAAATTATCTATATATAAGACGTAGCCACGTGTGTTCGTGTGTGTTCTTGGTACTTCATATCTTACATATTCTGTGAAAGGTCAAATTTGAGTTATATCATAGAGAATTATCCTTGACTCTCGAAAATGTTTGCTCTAATTTTTATGTCATGAATCCTTGACCAGAAGCATCCTGAATACAAATATCGTTCAAATATTTGTTATTTTTCACAAACTCTTTTAACTAATTTATATGATAAAAAGACATTCTTTGTTTATGCGTGATTTTGTACACATGATTCCTATAGAATTATATTTTAAACGAAATAAGTTTGACCAGGCTAGCAGCTTAGGGAATTTTTTAATATTTTCGCTTAAATTCACCAGTTATTGAAAAAGGCTCTTCAAAATTATTCAACTTTTCTTATCGATCCAAAATTATAATTATCAAATTTTTAAAAATATTTTGTACTATCTTCCTTTAAAACAAATTTGAGACTATGTTTATTAAATTTTGATTGGTGGTAATAATGATAGAATAATGTTTGTGCATCAAGATTTCAAATCTTTTCTCATAATTACAGAAATTTAAAATTTTAAGATATATTGTTGATGTTTTTTTATTGAATGTTTGTTATGTTATTTTCATTTATATTTAAAATCAGTTTTATTTTTTGAAAAGTATCTTAAGTGTTAAATTTTAACTTCAAATGGCAATGTTTTTGAATTCAAAGAACTTTTTTCGAAATAATTTAGAAGTGACAGTTTTTGAACATGGATTCAGTAGTTAAAAAGATATCAGTGATGGTTATTTTATTATGGGTTTGATAGAAAAAGTCAATTCCCTTTTTCTTGGAGGAAGGAAGAGTTTTAACTATCTCAGAGACTTTAAAAAGTTATATCTCTGTTTCTAACGTAGTTCAAGAGTTACGATATACGGAAAACAATCTGTGAGCTGAGGATTAAGAATTAATCAAAAGAAACATCAATGTGCTCGTACACTTCACTTGGAATTATAGGCAAGGGACTCTTATTAGATGGAATATCAAAATTGAAAGGCATGCATTCGTTTTTATAGCTTTTAAAATTAAACTTAAGTGCTCAAAATATTAATTATAAATAAAACTAATGCTAAGTGACCATGTATTCTATAAAATAATTAGCTGTCAATAAGTATGATAATTACACTCGGCGCTTTTATTAAGCTACTTATACTATAATATGCCAACCAAAGGTTTTGTTTTTCTTCTTATAAAGCGTTAGTTTTATTGCTGAGAAGTATATTTTCAGTAGAAAATTTTTAAAGAACTAAAATTAAAAAATAGATCAATAATTTTCTCAACTTAGTTGGTTTGGCAACAAGGTTTGACAGAAGTGTTGCCAAGAGATGTAACCGATTCTGATATCTTTCTCCTGGTGGTTTTAAAATTGCTTGTCATTACTATATAAATACGCTTGATTCAGAGAATCTTTTAAAAGGGAAATTCGAAATAAACCTTTCACAAAAAATCGTATGATATAAAGTACAAGAGAAGAAGTTTATCTACTTTTCAAAATATCTATAACACTACTAATGAAGTTCAAACATAACTAATGCTAGGCGATGTAATGGAATTTAAATAGCATGATATATTATAATTTAATATCAATATTGATGATATTTTGCGGAATTTTCTAAGTTAACTAACTCTGATATCTTGTTCTCTACTCTAATACATATATTTAGAACTGTGAAGGATCATGGGATAGAGCTCCCAATGAGGTGACCCAGGTTTGAATCCCATCAATGGCTGGTCAATATGAATTCCGCATCCAACTTGCACCGACCACAGTGCTGACGTAAACCATCCTCAGTAGTAGACGGATTATGGGTTAGAGTCCTCTAGTTATAAGGCTAACCATGGGAGGTTTTCTTGCCTCCTCTCCATGCAACTCAAATGATGGTTAGTCTTGCCTCCACGAAAGTAAAATTTCTACCAATACTTTACCAAGGAGTTCCCTTGTCTTCTGAATTGGGTTCAAAATTACAAGGCTAAGGAGTTGAACATTAGTAGTCACAAACCCAAAAAATTTTCTCAGCTGTTATGTGACAGTTATAATATGGAATTATAAAATAAAATGCTATGAAGTTGAGTAGAGAGTAACCGCAAATTCAAAATTGGGTCAACTGTTCAACAACAATTATAATATATAAAACGGAAAATAAATGATTCAGGATCGTTTTAAAATTGCTTGTTATTACTTTCAAGCTACGCTTGATTCAGAGACTCTAATGAGAGAAAAATAAGAAATAAACATTTCACAGAGTTTCATATAAAGAAAAATACATGAAAAGTTGTTTATTTACTTTTCCAAATGTCCACAACACTTCTAATAAAGTTTAAAAATAACTGAGGATAAATATATCTAAAGAGTAAAGTATAGTGTCAGGATGAAGTGATTATTAGAAAAGTTAGATACATTAGGCGCTTTGAAGTAGGGTGTTTTTTTTTGGGGGGGGGGGAATAAGAGGACAAAATATTTCTTTAATTTTGATAAAATTCGTTGCCTCGAAGAAGTAACTATAGTCATTTCGTCATTTTGACGAAATTTTTGCTTGGAGCATACGCCCGGAGGCAATTTCGTCAAAAACGTAGAAAGTTTCCTGAGGTTTGATTTTCAATTTTTCAGCATAATTTTTCAGCATAGTGAGGTTTGATTTTCAAATGTAAAGCATAGTTTCTACAAAAAATAAAATAATTTTACTTATAGTTGAAGAAAAGTGTTGATATAGAGGATTTTTGTAAGATAAAAATCTAATCATATTTAGATTCAAATTTGATTAAGTTCTGTTCATTAGTCAACGTAATTTAAATTAGATACCATTTTTCTTCGTGTGGTCAAGCACTTTTATCAAAAATAAATCTGACTGCACAAGTATATAATAAAATCAGCTTTCAAAAAGTAAAATATTCAAAATCTAAAAACGTACAATTTAAATTTTAAGATTAACCTTACTCAAAAGTATAACTTTCGAAGAAATTCGTTCAATATTTCGAATCCTATTACAGATTTTAGATCTTTCCTGTAACTAACCGGTAAAAAAATAATTTATTCCACGCGTCTTCATACATTAATAAACCGGTATTTACTTCTTTTTTGTTCATCAAGAGTTAGCTTTTTAAAACATCATTTATGTATTTGCTTCTATTTTGATTCCGTAACAGTTTTTCAAGTTTTAATATTTTTTATTCTTAAGTTTTACTCCGCAAATTCAAATTAAGTGTTTTTTTTCTTTTCTGGTTATTTATTATAGATAAATTTCTAAAATGATTTTAATTTAATTTTTTTTAAAAAAATACTATTAGGTCTAGCCCCTACTTTGCTCCATTCACTAATCCCCGGAATCGTTTCTTATTCATCATTTCTCTATTTTTCTTGATTGTCGGTAATTTAAAAAAAATTTATATCATTCATATAGTAAGCTAGATAACTGTCTTAATCTAATTTCATATAAAAACATTTTGTATTTATATTAATTATAATGAAATGAACGATTAGATAAATTTAAAAAATAGTCAACTTATGGAGACAAAATTTAAATTTTAAAATTCAGAATTTATATGACATTAAGGGGTAATTTAACTCTTAAGATATATGACGATATTATAACATTTTTTGAACAGTATTGTATTTATATTGTTTTTAAATATTTGTGAAAGATATAATATAAATGTTAAGATATTTTGTCTAGTAACATTTAATCTCTTATTCTCACTTATTTTCATGTTACTTTCAAAATCAAAGCAAGTGCAAGCAAACGAAGTGGATATATTGATAAAGACAAATAAAATTTTCGACAACCCTAGTTAAATAATTAATATTTTAAACAAAAAAAAATTACCAAAAACCCCTTAAAATTACAATAATTTTAAATCAAATTGGAATATCGAATTTTAAAAAAAAAATCTCTTTAAGTTCATAAATTGAAAAACCCCTTCCAACTTGTCAAACTTCCAACTCTTCAGTTACATTCCTGTGGGCTACAGAGAATCTTTACTACAACTTTAACAATTAATAATTCTCAAGCGTTTCAGTTCCATTGTGCATTCACTACATTTGCTTCGATAAGGGTACTCTTCATAATTTCAAGTTCCTAAGTCGCATTGTTTTTGTCCAGCAAAACAAAATTTAATTCAAAGTTACATTATCTTTCGTTAAATTAGGGAATATATCATGTCATCTTCGAACAAGCTTATCATTTTGATTATGCGTACGAAGTTTAACAATCTAAAGTTATTACTTTGATTTTAGTTTTTATTTTCTTTCGTTTTTAGTGTTCATGTATCTTGATAAATACTATTTTTATTATGGAACTCATTAAATAAAAATTGTTTAATTTGTTTGTTTAATTTTTAAAAAAAATCTTTAGGCTTTTCAAATTTTGACAAAAAAATTACTTTATATAATCTTTTTCCTCCTTATAATTTCAATTATCGCTATCCATGACACAATCTTAGAAAAGCAAAACTATTGTTTAATAGACTAATTTCACAGTTATGAACTTGATATTCATTCCGATTATCTTGATAAACAGTATCAGCTTAGAAGATGAGATAAAACTATTCTTCAAAATAAACTTCCTTTTTACAAAGAAAATCAACTAAGAGAAAGATTTGAAAGTAAAAAAACCCACTCGAAGTGAGGAAATATTGTTCTTGGTCAGCGATACATCATATTATCTGACACAGAAACGTACAGAAGACAATATGATTAGATTAAAGAAGGAAAAAATAGCGATCTTTCGTTAAAAAACGAAACGGAAAGCATAACAAGGCCATTACTTCTTGGGCAAAATGAAGCTATCGCTTTACAGGCTCAGCCACCGGCCCAGGTATTAAGGGAAGGTCGTTTTGCCTCTTGACCTTCACTTCTCTTACTTTTGTCGTTCCGACCAGAATTGAGAAGGCTGTTTATTGCTGCACTTTGCAAGCGGCTGATGGAACACTTCTTCATTTGATCGCATTGTTTGTGGATCCCTTAGTAGGTTGCTTGGAGACAGATTAATAGGACTTCATCTGGACATAATTACGATGGTTCGTGTGGCTTTGATATGTGTCTCAATCGTTGTTGTATTTTCGCTTCTCATAGATTTTTGTGCATCAGCAAGGCCCAACAAAAATCAATCTAGTCAAGCTTATTTTCCAGAATATCCACCTTCTTCTTTAAATGAAGAAGCGGTCGAGGATACTGGAGAACTTAAGACATTTCATGATGTTGAGCTTAAAATGAAATCTCTTATTGACGATGTCATTAAGAAAGTGTTGCCTTTTGTGATAAGGGCAAGTGCTGATATTCGCCTTTCAGGAAGATGCATGGCCAGTATTCTTAAATTGGTTATGGGGATGCAGAAGTTACAAGAGTGGGCCATAAGAAGTAAGTGAAAGTTATTTGATCACAGACTGTAAATTAAGTATCATCAAATCTGAGGATTTAAAAATTATTGAATTTAAACTATTTAAATTAGTTAATTTTCTAAAAAAAGTGTGAATAAATGTGTTTATTTTAAATATAAAAAGTAATCAATTAAAGGCAAAAGCAATCAATCAAGGTTTGGACACATTTTTTTAAATGTTTCCATTATTTTGACATTTTTGTGCTATTGTAACATATAATAAATGAAATAATATAATTATATCATGTTTTTAACTGCCCTGCAGACGCTGCAGGCCTTCACTTCTTAAACTACCCCACAGAAGAGGATTTGTATTCTTTTAATGCCATAGAAATAACAAAAACTATTCAAGCACACCATGAAATATGATTCAATAGAGGATACGACACCAACCAACCAATAATATAATTGAGATTCTTTAAAAAAAATTTAACATTTAAAATGTTTTTATTTTTTAATGTAACTTTAAAAAGTCATATGCTTCATTGTTATAAATTTCTCATATATTCACGATGAAATTTGATTTCTGAAACTTCTTCTATTAATCTCTGAAACAAAATTTTTTAATTTTTCTAAAATGAGAGTCGCAATTGTTTTTATTTTTATTTATTTAAAAAAAAAGAAAGCAAAATTTATTTTTTTTTACAATTTTCAAAGACAAGTTAAAAGGAAATTGAAATATATATATTCAAAATTTCAAGCAGTATGTTTAGTTTTTTAAATGCATAGTTATTAGTTAGAAGAGCCCTGAAAATATAATCATGATATGAAAATTCTTTAAAATTTCGGAAAAGAATAGCAAATGGAAACGGATAGTAGTTTAGTTTGGAGAAAATTTGAAACCGTTTGTTCTCTTGTGTTGAATTAATAATAAACGTAAGTAATAAATAAGTAATGAATAAATAAGTAATAAATAAATAAGTAATAAATAAATAAGTAATAAATAAATAATTATTAAAGACGTAATTTTTTATTATTTGTAAAGAAATCAATTGCATAATTTTTAATGAGAAAAATCTCTCAATATTAAAGATATTTGTATCACATATTCACCTAAAATTTATGAAAAATAGTGAAAAAGTCCTGTCTTAACCTAGCTAGCTACCTTGATCCATATCTATAATTTCGGTATAGTCAAAACGAACCTCTAAAAACTAACCTCTATATCATTCTAATATTCTTATACTGAAAACGTTTTTTCATAATTTATACTAAAAATCGCCCCAGTTCAAAGTAAAAGAAAAGTATCCTTATAAAGATTGTTTTATTATTTTTAAGTACATTTATCACTTAAATATAATTCTTTCAACATCATTTTGTGTTTGAAAATTTATCTCATGTATTTTAAGTCTGTTACATGTTCAAAAATATATACAAAAATTATAAATACTTATTTCATTTAGTTAATCATACATGAAACCTAGTTTCTTTTACCAACGCTGCAAGTAATGTAAAAGTGAGCAAATATATATTTTTTTAATTTGACCATGCAAAAAGGCTTTAATAGAGTTAATAATAAATGCTCGGTGATTAATAAAACTTTATTATAAATTTTAAATTTAAAAGCTGCTCATAAATAAGAGTACTATTAATTGTTAATTGTTTTTCAATTATATCTGTAGGAATAATTTTTGAATAAGACATAAATTTATTCACCAGCTCATAAAAATCCATAATTTTATGAAATAAATAAACAAAGCAATAATTTTTTTTCTACGGTAAATTAAAAAAAATCTGTATTATTCTTAACTGATTTTTTTATGAGAAATATATTTTTTTTTCAGTAGAATATAGTTATTGTTCCACAGGGTATTAAATGATATTTTACTATTAAACATAATAATCAGTTTCAAAACATTAATTTCTTTTTCCCCTTTTTCACACCGCTTGAAATTTAATCGCTATTATTAACAACCTTAATAAATACGATCTGAAATAAAAGGGGTTCACATCAAATAGACGGCATCAATTTGTCCTAAAGTAAATGTTAGGTACGATGTAAAAAATTCTGTATCATACTAATTTACAATATTTTTAAAATTTTCTCCAATCTTAAAAAAATGTAAGAGTTGGACCCGCCTGCAAATTACTTATTTTTAAACTGGATTGGGATAATATGGTTCAACTTGAGTCTGCTTTTGATCCATTTTATAGCCTCGTTAAAATAAATATATTGCTATTGTGCTGCTTTTCTATTTCCTCCGGAAATGTGAAATAACATTGTCAGATTCGGTTTAAACGTTTAACCAAACTCTCTAATAATTTTTAGTCTAAAATTATGGTAAAAAAACCGGTAGCAGTCTGTCCATCCAATTAACCGTAAAGGTAACTTACGGTAAGGAACATTTCGTACTTTTACGGTTTTGAAACCATCTACAACTAGTATGGTTAAACCATGAATACGAAACTATGCGATATTTTCACTATTTACAACTAGCAATGTTTCACGACCGTGGAAACAAAATTTAACTACACATTAGAGGTAGTTAAGCAGCTTTTATGGTGCTGATATCTATGCGTGCGAATGAGAGTATCGTAATTAGCCCAGGGAAGCAGATTGGGGAGTGCAGGACGCTGAAAACTCTTCAAGTATTGAATGGAAGGGAGGAAATATTGTGGTGATTGATTCGAACACCCTTTCTCGATCATGAGATTGACAGATTTGCCTTCTCGGCTATAATATGCACCCATCTGAAAGGAATTAAGTAGCTTCATTACGTGGACCTAGTTGGTGCGATAAAATTCTGGTCAGTGTTATGCAGCCACATCACAAATGCCATCTTATTTATGGTTATTTGATTGCTTTATTTGAATATGGTAGAAAAAAACAATAAAATAGATTGCTTTCTAACCATTTTATCCGAGAAATATCGAGCAGTGTAAGTCATTACATTATAAAAATAGTTTATAATCTATATTTAAAAACTCTGAATAGTACTCCTTCCCAAAAATTTCCTTTGCGGTTTAAATTTTTAGTAAACCTTTTATTTCTAAAATCTACCTTAAAAATCAGCTAATCTAGAAAAAAATATGTATCTACATCTTTAGCAAAATTCGTTGAAATGCATTATTTGTTTTAAGTTTTCATTACGTTGAATATAGATAAATCAATAGAGTGTAGGAATCAGCTCATATTAAGAACAATAATATTGGCTGCGTAGTTGAATGAAAATTCGAGAAGTTTTGTAGAGAAATTTTTAATGAAAGCCTTTTTATTTTTTATGTTAAATAATGTTTTATATTATAATGACTATGTCATCCTAGGCAAAATAAGAAAATTTTGCTGCTGTCTGATGGAAGTAATTTCAACAAGAAGTTACTTTTCTAAAATATTTGGCCACTTTATCAAAAATCTAGATCTTTAAACTATTAAGAAGAATGTAGATAATGTTGAATGTAATAAAGCATTTATTTTAAGGCATTTCTCAAAATATGGTAAATATTACTAGGTTAATTTTTAAATTTCTAAAAAGAAAAAAAATTAAAAAACAAGCGTAAAATATTTCCATATTGATTAAAAAATGATAAAATGCACATGGGGTGTATTTTTGTATAAACAAATGGCTATTGGGTGTTCATTTTTCAACCGCTAATTGTTTGAGTCGGTTGGTGACAGATAGAGACCACTAATTTTGCCCCTATACCATTTCAAGGGCTAATAAAAGCATAAAAGATGATGAATTATTAAAGCATAAGGTACTAATTTTAGGTGTAGCAATGTTTTTTGTATTTCAACTAAATAATGTTTATAAATTTTTAAGCAGATAGAAAAAAACCAGCATTAAAAATGTAATTAATGTTACCTTTTTGTGAACGAATAAAAAGAAAGAGGGTACTAATTAAAGGAACACTTTCTCTTATTTTTTATGAATGATTTTTTAAAAGTAAATAAAAAATGCCTCCGTTGATAAAAGGAATAAACTAAATGTGTTTATAAACGTAAAATCATTATGAACATATATTAGAATCAAACAGATCAACCAACAGCATGCATAATAATTCGATGTAAAATATTGAAAATTTGTTTTCCTAAATTAAAAATTTGTAAAAGAAAAAAAAACCTTGATATAAAGCCTAAGTTCATTTGATTATAAATAAGAAACCTGGAATTACTGGAATGTACGTTATTTCGCTTCAACTACTTAATTAAATCGAAAATAAATTATTGATAATTTTATTATTTTGAGTGGTAATTTCATTTTTAAATAGCGTTGTTATCAACTGAAAAAGACAAATGATGATTGTGTTTCATATAATGCTATTGCTTATGATTATTTTTGACATTTTAAGAACATAGCGCTTGGGTTCTAACTAAGACAGTTGACAATGAATTTGAGAACAAGTTATCTTCGTATGCAATTATGTCTATTGTCTCGAAAGATTGATGGAACAGTTGAGACAAATATTTACGTTAAGAGTATTTATTTATATTACGTATATATTAATACTTACTTTTCTTGGCGTAATGTAATCATGCGTACCAGGCTCGGCATGATTAAAATCACATAATTTAAATCATGATTTAATTCAAGATTTAAATTACTTTATTATTTGAATCAAAGAAATCATTTATTTAAATCAAATGTGATTTATTTTTAAAAAATGTCATTTATTTAAGCCGTTTAAACTTTTTTTAAAAAGTAATCGAGTTTAAAACAATTTTATATACTATAATAAATAGTAATACACTAAGGATTTAATTGTAAAAAAATCTGATTTCATTGATAATGAAGATTTTATGCAAACAAATAAATAAAAAGAGCTGTACGTTGATTAATACATTTTATAACAGATTGAAAAATTAAAAAGACAGAGTTAAAAGCTTAATAAAGTAAAAATTAATAAAAGGTCCATACGAGTAGCTAGAAAATTTAAATCTTTTAAATTATAATTTTACATTAGCTTGTATGTAAAGTAATTTGCCAGTAATAAATCTATTTCAGTTTTGGCAATTTAACATATGTTTATCTAAATGCAAGGG